CAGAAAAAAAACACCTTCCGCCGGCAGGCTGCGAGATGTTCGGGCGCCCTTTCGACCTCAGCCCTTCGAGTGTGGGTTGGCCTCCCCTTTGAAAAGGGCGAATGGCGATCACCATCGAGGATTTCCGTTGCTAACCTTCCCCTGCTGCCAACGGCCACGCCGCCATTGCGACTCGAGCACTATCGATTCTCACCGTGTCAGCATTTCTGGATTTTCGATATCCTCCAATACCGTAGATAGTTTTCGCCGGAATTGGTGAATTCATAGCTTTTTGAAAGTAAAAGTAAGAATAATGCTTTCACAGTGAATTGAATAATATATTAACTTCAAATAGACGTGGTATCTTCTGCAGTTTTATTTTTCTATCCTTATTTGTTTACAGACAAATAACAGCGGACAACTTTTAACACATTGTGAAAAATTGATTTCGATAAAATCTATGGGAAACTGGACATTTGATAAAGTTCATGGATTGTGTGTGAAAAATAATATTGAAATTAAAATGTTTATGAGAAAGTATTTGATCTAAAATTACTTATATTTTACCTCATATCAACGTATTTTCGTCAAAAAGAAATGTGTTGAAATTGGTGAAGTGAATAGGTTTATACATTTATTTCAATTAATTTACTTTCGTGTTCATAAAATTCTTTCATTTCATGTATTTTTATTCGAAAATATTTCCACATCTGAATTAGGGACGTCCGGCATTTTCTTCTTCATAATTTTGTCAGGCCTCAATCCCCACCGTTAAGATCGGCTGCGGTGGTTCGTGAGGCCCCGCCTGCGACGTTTCGTCATGATAAGGGCTGCCCTAGCCCTACAATAAATGAACGTAGCCGCAGACGGGGCGTTCAATTTTTGTTTCCAAAACTGTACGTAGCATTTGTAACCAAACTATGCGCCGCCCTTCAGCAGCGGAGGGGGTTCCGCCCCTCCCTTTTGGAAAAGTTGACGCGCGTGGAGGGGGCAGGGAGGCGACCAGACTCGGAGACAGGTGTGGAACGCTAGAGGGAGAGGCGGTGTAAGGGCGAGCGGAGCCCGACACAGTAAGTTTTCTTGGGATCGAGGCGTGGGGGAGACGGTACCGGAAGGTGGTGGTTGACGGGGTTACTGCGCCAGTGTCTCGGGACGATGGAGTGATGCTTTGACACAAAAGTTCGGCGCCTGCCGCTGCCGCTAACCGCGGCAAGCTTCGCCGTTTCGTGGAGGCCGTAACCTCCAGACTAAGGTCGGCCTCCTGTCCCATTTGTTCTACCCAGTTGTATTTTGTTGTATTTTTGTCGAAAAAAAAACTGCCACTACTGAGTGAACCCACTGGGTCACCGTACTGAGAGACGAGCGAGGTTCTCGCCGGGGCACGAAGACGAGGTTATGGAAGCTCGATGGTCCAGGCTCTGCGAATACTAATGTTTAGAAAACACTTCGCCATAATTCTAAGCCAGTGAAACTCTGTAATTTATATGTATGTATATATTGCAGAAACTAAATTGCATATGTGTATTCGTTTTCAAGTACGGTCAAGCAACAGACGTTATAAACATTTCAAGATTCGTTGTGTATTGAAAAGTTACATATGATCTTCCTAGTTGATTGCTTTTTTTTCTTTTCTGGAATATGGTTAAATGTTTTGTTCTTTAATTTAAGTTTCAAGGGCATTGTCATTCTGTATTTTGTAAGCTCTTGTTCTGCGGACCTTTTTTTTACATATAATAGTTTTTTTCGAAAATTGCAAAAGAAAATTCAAAACTACAAAATGGAAGATATAGATTTTTTTGCCTCAGACAAACTCTGTTGTAGAAAATTACCTCTTTAAAAAAGATCAGGTAAAAGTTTTTGAAAAAGGGTAGTTTTTGCGTAATTTTTGATTGATATTAATTAAATATATACAGGTTTCACACCAACTACGGGTCACGAAAAAAATAGAGTAAAATATATGAAAAAATAATTATGATAAATAAATAAAGATATTGTCTGGTATCAATACTTTGATACCAGACAATATCTTTATTGATTTATTATAATTAAAAGGTATCTACCTCACCAGCGATGCTATTAATGATAAATAATTAATTTACTTATAATTATAATTGAATTTGCTAATATGAATTCTATATTTACACTCTTCATTACATTTTAATCAATATGTATTCTAAATGTATTGATGTATTTCTTTTTAAAGAATATGCAAAGTTTAATAGAAGTATCGCAACGATGTGGCATCCGATATTTGAGAAGCTAATTGTTGTCGAAGGTCGAGACGAAGGCAGTGATAAGATACAGCCGTTTTATTAAGTTCAACTGGTGGTGGTGTAACTCCTAGACCGATAACCAGTACTTCCATTTGCAATGAATTTCGCAGCAGTTGTTTATAAATTAATCCTCAGAATGCCCGACGAGATGTATTACATATCATTTAATATTATCTGATCACTGAAAGAATTTACTGTATAAAATTGAAAAAAAGAAAAACGGAACGCTTTTGGAACTGTTAATTTAGGTAACTCAGGACTGAGTCATTCCAAATTTCTAATCAGACTATTTATGTCATTACAATAACCCAAACACGCAGTCATTTAGAAAAAAATGAAAAGATTAAGCTGTCGATTACGGAATGAAGTTCTAGTGCTTGGTTGTAACAAGTTCTTTTCTTGAAGACGAGTCCAAAGTAATTCTGCTTGCCTCTTTGAAAGATTTGGATCTCTTACAAGACCGTTCAATTCTGCCTGCGAGAATGGTTATGATTGTAGCCGTGCTGCAGATGGCGTGTATTCAAGATGTTCATGATCTGTTGGTGTGTCACTACCATCGTTTGTTTATTTCTTTTGAGTGCCCATTCCGTCGGTGGTTTTGGAACTGGGAGATAATCAGAATGCGGATATCAGATTCCAAATTGGGATACGCAACTGTATGATATTTTTGTTACTTGCGTTAAACAGAAGCAGTAATCTGTAATGTGATCTCTAGGTTCCCTCCACAATAGTGTACCGGAAATGGTATAGACGGGTTGGTTCTTCACAACCAGCCTCTCTAATTTCAAATCGCTTTCCACCAAGTTATTCTTTGAGTTAAAAAAAACAACAAAAAACATGAAAGTCTGATGGTGCCAGGAAAAGGACGTAGAAAGGATGCTTCAGTAATTTCCATCGAAAGTTGTCCAGTTGCGTGTTTGCCATTACTGCAGTGTGAGGCCGAGCGTTATCGTGAAGCCGCAGGATGCCGCTAGACGAAATCCCCACCGGCAGTGTTGAATAGCGCTCCTAAGCTTGGTTAGTGTTTCACAATATTAGCATTTATAGTCTTTCCTCTTTGCAGAAAGTCAATCAAAAAATCCGTGTTTCAAAAAAAATCCGTGACATGGCGAAAATCGGAAAATTTAGTCGACGAAACTTCACATTTTTTAACACCAAAATTAAACCAGCATATCTCACAAACTATGTAACATAAATCAATTCTAAAGACACGGAAGTGTTTCTAATTTCTTGTAGTTTCAGAAAATGCCGTCATTTGTCATATACGGATGAGAAATATCCCTAGCTCTATCTCCTAAACTATTTAAGCTACAGCGCTGGAATTCGCACACGAGATTGTGTGTCTACTACTCTTTAAATTGAGTCTTAAATGAAGCGTCTCGTTGAATCTGAACCTGCTTGAAACTGACATTTTCTAACCTGCTATTTGGCAGCTATTTGGCATTATTATTATTATTATTATTATTATTATTATTACTATTATTATTACAGTTATTATTAACAGGAAATTCAGAAATAAAATATATTTTAATATTTATTATTTTTACATAGCAAGAAATTTGTTTGCAGCCAGTTCTTGTTCAACCAAATCGTTACCTTATGATTGTGATAATTGGTTGTACTTGTTGTCTAGTTCAGAGAATAGTGACTTTAATAGTTCTCTTACCTTATTGGTGGCATCACTGAAACTGTTTGATATTTCTGAAACTGGAGTGTTGTGCAGGCACTTCTGGAGCTATGGGAATTTTCATTTATGCTGTGCGAGACAAAGTACGTAAGGTGTGTGATCATAATATATAATTATTACTTTAACAAAATTACATTGTATTTTTTTTTTATCTATTCATATTCAGAAAAGTATGATCTGAAGTTGTGAATGGTTATTTTTTATTTCAGAATTCTTTTCCATATGTTACAACTAGCCTGGAAGCTTTCTTACTAATAGGAATGTTTTCACACCTCAGTAAACTGTTAATTGTTTATACAGAAGTGCAAATCCCCAAAGTGAGACATATAAAACAAACTGTAGTCAATATTAGTACAGGTAATCATTATTTCTTTAAAATTATGTAGAACATACATTGAACTATCTGTCAGTTTTTGTTTTTGAATAGTTTCATGTCATTAATTGTTGCTATTTCTCAGGTGTTCCTGTGTTAGCAATATTGTGTACTCATTTAGCTCACCATTCAACTGGATGGAAACTAACTGCATGGTGGTTGGTTTGTGGCACAATGATATTCAATATTTTTGTGGCACCAGCTGTTATCATGCTGTTACTGTTCTTGTTCCTATACTTCAGTGTTATGTGAAAACTTCATATACTTTCTGGCAAGAATACAGACAGCAACAAAGCTATAAGCGCAGGTATAATTCTTTTTAGAGAAGAAACAAATGATGAGCTTGGTTCTAGATGGTCCTTTGCTATATTTCTCTCAAAAATTAAGATAATCCCACTATTGTGCTCACCATTTTGGTTAGTACATTTTGTGTAAATATTGAAATGCTGGTGTCACAAATTTGGCAATTCTACACTATCATTTGTTCTTGTACCAAGGCAAGAGATGTTGAATTGAAATTGTGGTCTTGATATTTCTCAGAATGAACTTGAAGTGGCATAGGACTATCCAGAGGCCACTCTTCCAACATTAAAGAGAAAGTTTTCATTTATAATTGAAGCATCTATATTTAATGCCTGCTTGAACCCCTCCCTAAATAATTACATAATTCTTGCAACAAGACCCCTCCCTCATTTTTAATATATGTAAAAATAAATTACAATGATTTGTATTTATTTTATTTGTGTTTTATATAAAAATTTATGATAATTTAAGATAGAATTAGTTGGCGATGTGAACTGCATCTGACAATACAATGGAGGACAATTTTTTAATAAATTTAAGAAATCTGATATCAAGTCATGCACATGCCATTGTCGATAGCATATTGGCTTCAAGTACATTGCACCAATTTAATTAGATTCTAAAATGTTTTTTAAACCCTTTTGAATATTTTCTTTGTAATCTATGAATACACAATTGCTGAAAAAATAATTCAATTTATTATAGCAATTTATGCATTTTAACTCTTTAATTTATTTGTACTTTTTAATTTAATTTGTTGCTATTTTCATGTTTTAGAATAACACTAAAAAATAAACTATTTTAATAAATATTGAAATAATCAGCATTATGTAACTCTAAACTATGATCCCCCTGACCCTATGTAATGCAGCCTTAAGCCCTATCCCTGAAGCATTACATAATTTAAAGATGACCCCTTCTGGAAAAAAAGAATAAATGAGTTGCTGTAATTGTAATTTTATTATTTTCCTAAATGGTTCCACTGAAACTATTTCGTGTTTTCAGCCTTCTAGCACTGATTTGTCCACTGCTAATTATGTATGGCAATTTTATTAAATACCTTTCTCACTAAGCTGTGCAAATCATTTTAAAATGATTCATCTTTTTTTTTTTAATGGAAGGAAACAGATGTGAGGCTGTCTCTTCAGTTCTGTAGTTTCTTTGATGAAAAAACTCTATTTTAATTGGTTTCCTTTTTTCAGGGTGGGCCTTCTTCAGAGTGCTGGTATTATGTTTGGGGTAATGGTTGTGATGGAAACTTCCAGTATTTTGTATATTAATGTTCCACATTCAACTTGCCACTACATTTTCAGCTTCACAAGTGTCTTATTGGTAAGAAAGTAATTGCAATATGAAATCATACACCTTATTGTCTTGTGTTTTACATCTTTCATTTATAGAGAATGTGCTGTAATGGGTAAATATTTGATGCTAAGAGTTTGTTGAATAAATAGAGATTGCTGGGAATCAATCTATCTTTCTTTCTTCAAGCTCTGAAGAGTTAATATGAAGAAGAAGTCATTTTGAAGGATAGGCTGGCACTCGACTACTGTAAATACCCTTAAAGATCACTAACGACTGAATGTGATCTACATACTACTTACTACTATACCATAAGTGTATCATTCAGTGTACTATTATAGATGAATGCAAATCCAATTATTATTTTATTATCTCTATTTCAATTATTATTTTACATCTACCTTTTAATTGATTGGTTTCAAGACACGACTTTCTTTTCTTTTCATAAAGGTCTGTTATAATGAAGTCATTATGCAACTAGTGCTAACTAATACATCCATTAGAGCACTAGAGCTACATGAATCTTGTTTTAGTCTTCACAGGAGTCTGCTAAAGAGATATTACCACACTGTTATAGTTAATAGTTATTTATGAAATAAATATCTTAAGCCATCTTATGATTATTATGAGATTGGATCAAATGAAGCATTAGGTCAAATTTTGATAACCAATTAAGAAGTGTAATAAAATATTATATAAGGAATATTGTAGGTTTTATCCACTTTGTAAAAGTCTCACTGTCATTATAATTTTCACATAAATATGTCTATCTTCTGAAAGGTTACAGACTGATGTGGTTAGTAGCTAATGAAGGCAATGGTTTTTTTTGAACACTAGTGTTCTAATAATTTTAATTATAAACCTGATCTTAGTTTGATGAGAATGAATATAATATTTTGTTGAATAAAAAAGAACATGAGACTTGGTTTTGGGAGCCAAGAGCAATGTTTCTGTACAGCTATTTCTTCTAATTCTGAAAATTTTCTATGTTACAGGGTTTTATCATATTTTTATGTTATATTTTGAAAAGTGAAGCACCCTTCCACATGCAAATATTGAGGAAATTAAAGTTGAATAACACCCCAGATGATGATTTTAGCTCTGAATCCGCCAATAGTTCTTTCAGATGTAAGTACATTTTTATGAAAAGATATTTTTTTTGATAATTTCATTTGTTCTTAGATAAGTAGAACTTCAATTACCTGGGTTAATTAGGGTCGGACCCAATCTATAAAATCAAATATCTAGATAACTGGATAAAACAAAGGTAATTAAAAAAAGCTAAACACCTTGTGTAAATTACAACAGTCTGTAAGCCTGTTGCTTAACTACACTCCATGAAGTCATGGAAGTCAAGCAACTGGACACATCTTGGATTCCTAGGTAAGTGACCATCGGGGAATCCTGGCATAGAGCCCCTGGATGAAGGAATAAAAGGCAATGACTGACTACTGCATTACAAGACAAAACAAAATTTAACAGAGGAATGCTCCATATAGTATATATGATCAATGGCTAAAATAATGGCTAATAGTCATTGTTGCAAAAAAGACAACAGAATTTCAAAATAAAATAATAATAGTAATCGTAATTTTTTTTCAATTGTGTAAACTAAAACTTGTGCAAAAACCAAAATAAAATAAATAAATTGAAAAAACACAGGAGGCAGATCCTATAATGAAAAATCAGTCTAGGTTAAGATCACAACACAGCCTGATGTAAGCTGCACTGACTGACTCTGACCAACACAATGCACATGTTACTCGTACAACAGAGTACATGTATTCATTGTGGCTTGAAGATTTTGTCCTTTAATACATTCACTCAGGTTTGGGCAGTATTTAAATACTTGTATTTGAAATACATATTTTAAAAACATTTTGTATTTGAAAAACTGTATTTTTGAGTTTTTTGGACATGTATTTTCGAGATGTATTTAAATACATAAAATAGGTGTGTTTAAAAAATGAAAAACTAAAAATACTTTAAATACAGACATAGAAGAAGATAGTTTAGAACAAGGTTTATTTCTTTCTGTTTGATTCTGCTAGCGAATGCACCTCATTAAAATAAAAACAAAAAGCTCCTTTCAGCTGTTGAATTTGGATTCTCTTCATTTTTAAATGATAAATCTAATGGAATTTCCTTTTAAAACAAGTAATTTTTAAAACAAATGTGCAGTCAGTAATATCAATAATCACATACCATGAGAAATGATATTATAATATTCTACATTATACACAAGTGTCTTAATTACAATAGGAATATCAATGTCCTTTATATATTGGTAGAGATATATCACATTCAACTTCTTTCGTGTTTACTGTCTTGTAGAATGTGTCAAAAAAATATTTTTATTAATTTTTTTTTATTTGACATTATTTGAAGGATGCAGAAGTAGATTTTAGAAAAAATCAATTGTAATTAGTGTTAGGTTCTAAGTATTTTTTGAATTATCGAATAATTTTGGCAAAAATAGTTTAGGAAAATATAATGTTAATAATGTTTTAAATTTAGCCAATATTATTTTCACATATTTACTTATAGAAAAATTATTGAGTAATAGAAAATACTCATTAATATACAAGAGTCCATACATTAAGTATTACAAATTTGGAGTGTTTTGGTATAAGACAGATAAAGTAATTGTTTCACTGGATGTCAAAAAATTAAAAATAAATCAGTGTTATGTATCATTAAAGTAACACCCGCCTTCCCCCAAATAACGCAGTGCAATGCTGCTTCAAATCCCCTCCCTCCCTCTTTAGCCTTTTGTAATTTATGGACAACACCGAAGAATCACACTTTTTGTCATGAAGAACACATAAAGAGTTCAAAATTAAAAGCATTCCTTAGAAATAATTTTGGGCATTATTCTTTTCAATGTTTTTCCTTTCTTTCTCCCTGAAATAATAAACAATCTTGTAAAAATGATTCACAATAATTATGTGGAGGATCATAATGGAGAAGTTGAATCTTTAAAAATAAAATTAATCTCTGTATATCTGTCAAGTTTTCCAGGTCAACATCACATTATATAAAACTGTTATCACAATTTGAGAAATAATTACATTATGAGTAGAATTACAAACTTTAGTTTTGTTTTGAGTTGGCCAATTTTATGAATATTCAACTAGATTTGCTTATTATATGTTGATAATAAACTTTTAGTGAAAAAATTGTTCTCTTTAGTTTGAATAATTCTAAACTAAAACCATCTCTCAAGAAGTTTCCAGAGAAAATAAGAGGTCTGGGGCAGCAATTCTATTGGAGTCCCTGATTTCAAACAAAAGATCCCCATTTTTCAATACAAAAACTGAAATCGTGTCACCAAGTACAACAAAAATAACATATAGTAGTTATTTTGTATTATAAAGGTAAATAAATATGTTATTTGTTTTGAATAAAAGCAAATGAGATCCCAATTACATTGTAGCCTGGGACAGTTGCCTCAGCTGCCCCCCCGCCATCATCCCTGTGTGTCATTGCCAGCTCTTGAGTGCATGGTGCAAGTACCACCACTCTCTGTACAATGCAAATTAACTCTTGTATCATTATGAGTTTCCATTTTGCTCTTTGATTTCTACACAAACTTTGACAATAAAGCATGTTACATTTGATGCATTTCGTGATTGAATGCACTGCTTAAGTGGGTTGATTAAAGTACATACCATTAATCTTTTTTTAGTAATACTGTGAAAAAAATACCTACAAATGCCAATGAAGGCTTTCATGCATTTTTCATTTTTTTTTTTGGGGAGTGGCTGCTTTAAAATAATTTTAATTGAAATGCCTTTTAACTAATTACCATATAGTCTTTGAGAATTTTCAGAATGAAATGACCAACATCTAATTTAAATTAATATATGAAAATTAAAGACAAACGTAAGTATGTAAATATTTTTATTCATCATTATATGGTAAGTGGAATTATCTCTAATTCATTAGAATGATTTTGCTAGCCTGCTTGTTGTTTAGTATTGAAATGTTTGTCAAAGGCTAGATAAAGAGAAAACTTTTAAAATTGATTAAATATCAAAAGAGAGTTAAAAACAGTGTGTGATGACCTATGGAGAGAAATGTGCACATCTTCTTCAATTCTATATCTACCATACTACATACGAGTTGAAATATGAGTTCAGGTGAAAAGAGATTTTCGCAACAATTGATAAGAAGATATTAGCTCTTAGTAGAATTACTATTTGCAAACACAAATTAGCTACAGAATTTGGCTATTTTTCCCATTATTCATCAAGTAATCCACTTGCTGCCATGAAAATATGAAAAATATTAATTTAAATAAATGTATACTCCATTCAACTCCAGAAAATGTGCACAGAGAGTGAAGTTACATAATAAACAGAGTGACGTTAACAATTTCACAAACTGTGGAAATAGTTGTAACAAAAGTTGATTGTTGAGTACTTATAATTTTCTGTCTATGCCTGACTCTGAAATAAGCATGCACTTCTGATTAGTATTTTGAGATGGCAATCAATTTCTTTGAACATTTGTTTTAATACTTGATGTGGTTATATTTTATGTGAGCAGTGGCTTTATAGCACCAAAAATATTGCTGAAAAAAAAAAAAAACCCACACAAAATGATTGTCCCAAAGTACTATGCACTTAGTTGAAGATCAAATATACTATCATATAACTCTGTTTTTGTTAAAAATTTTAATTTATTACAGTCTTCACTAATACTGCAATGCCATGCTGCATTATATTTCATCAAATTGTTTAATATTATGTAATAAAAATGTTTTTTAACAAACAATTCTCTATATGATGAACACACTTTGTTAAAACAGTTATTAAAATACTAAAAAATCCATAAAAACTGGAAAGTGTTATTTAAAATAACACTGTTGAAATGTTATTAAGAGTTTCTAAAAATGTAATCAATAAGTCAATGTTTCAGCCCTTGGAATTTAGGTTACTCATTAGGTTTGAATCATAATCCTGAGGAAAGGATAATGTGTACACTTTACTATAGCCTCAGGATTATAATTTATGACACATAAAGGCTTATAAATCTCAAGAACAAAAACATTGTCTTCAAATGTTTAGAAACTCATAATGATTTATCAATATTACCTTAATTTAAATTATAATTTTTGCAGTTTTTATAAACATTTTGGAGGCATTTTAATTGTTATGTTTTTTATAATTGTTTAAAAAAGTATTTTACTCTATAAGGAAACTGATTGTTAAAACTTTTAATTGATGAAAATTACAGGTGTTAATGTTAAATTATTGCGTAATGTTACTACTTCCATGTTGTGATCATCTTCCTCAACTTCTAAAGATGATTTGTGACTTTTACCATCATTGTTGGATTTTTAAGTTATTAAATTATTTATGATTTATATAATTAATTTATAAATTCTGTCTGAATGACCTTACACGCTCATCCAGTTTTCATACAGCTCCTATGCAGAAAAATATGTTAAACATATTAACTATTTGTATATATTACTTTTTTAAAACTCAGATAGTACAATCAATAGAAAGACGGAATAATCTCCTAGTGCTAGCGTTTGGCAGCGACTCTGGCGGCTCGAAGAGTAACATAGGGAGTCAAATTTCGGACAGTCGTAAAGTAACCAAGTAACTGCCACGAGCAATACGCGGTATTCAGAGCATGCTCCAAGTGAAGATAACGAGCTGGCACGTGCAAGAAATGTATATTACACTGTACGAGCTGATCGGTTCGAATCAATGGAGTAAAGAACAATCATAGAGCGCGATTTGTGCAATGTATTACTTGTAATAATAGAGCTTCGGGCACTGCGCAGTGTTAATCTACAGCACAATGCAAATGTCAGCGAAGATTGTGCGAGTTAAGTTGTGTAGTTATCAAAATATATATGTCGTGAATACAGACAGATTTAATTCTTATATAATTTGCTCACTTCATCATATTGACGTTAATCGATTTAACAACGTGCAAGACAATCTTCGCTCAATGGAAAGCCGACATCGCACCTACGAGTTTTTGTAGCTCTGCGCACCCTTCGGAGACTGGTTAGTCTTTTCAACAGTTTCTATTTTCTTGTTTTTGTAGTAATAGTATTTAATGAAGTGATTTCAATTTCAAGCAAAGATATTTCTACTCGTTAGTTTTTTATTGATAGGAATCGTCTGGTACGACTTGAATCATTTAAACTGTCAGTTCGCGCCGCTCTCGGGCGTAGGAGCAAAGATGAATCCTTGGATGGTTAAAGGGGGTAGGGAGTGTATCTTGGTGTATCTGCTGGGTCCTGAGTGTTTTCATAGTGGAGCCGCAGGCACAGCAGGCCGAGGACATGGTATTAATATAAAAAATTATTACTAGCTTGCTAAGAGTTCCGGGCATTACCTGCAGAGCAACTGACGCGAGGTTTAAAAGTGAAGGTTATGTTTTGGGGTGGCGGTGTGTCACTGGATATCTGACTCCTGAAAGTCATTTCGAGTATTGCCCCAAATTTAGCGGTATTAATTCATATTTACTCTACTAAAGAAAATAGAGTATCCATTAAAATGAAATGCATCGGAAATATTGCAACTTACCGAATGTGTAATGTGTAAATTGTTAAATTTAACATTTTGAATAAAAGATCTGGCTTTTGTATTAGCATACCCTTAAGAAAGCAATAAATTTCAACATTCAGGTTAAAAAGCTTGTGATGCTACGACAGCTCTTACTTTCTCACATTATTTATAACTTTTTTAATTTTTGAAAAATCAGAGTTTATGGAAAATGAAACGTATGCAATTTGTAAAACATCTATTACTCTAACACTGAAATAATTTAAAAAAATTGAAGCCGGTTTTGAGAAAAAATTACAATAATATCTAGCAGAAATTACGCAAAAACAGCTAGCTTTTTCCAAAAATTGGGCAAGGCCTTTTTCAAGGATTAATTTTTCAGAACAAATTTTATTTAAGAAAAATCTCTACCATCTATAGTATACTTTAAAAATTAATATATATTCCAATTTTCGAAAGTGCAAAGAGTTTGCTGAAAATGGGAGCAGCATCAATTGTTTGAAAGTCCTCGCCAACGCCGTCGCCCTCGCCACCCCATTGACATTACCCCCGCCAACGCTCCCGCACACGCCCTCACCCCGTCCTCGCCAATTCACACGATCTCGCCATCGCATCAGCTCTCGCCAACGCCCCCGCGCCCTTTATAGCCCTAGACGTCTCATCGCCCTTGAACTTGCCCTCGCCTGCGCCCTTTCCGCCCCCGCCCTCGCTCTCTCCCTCGAGCTCGCCCTAGCCAGCGCCTGCACCCTCGATTTCGCCTTCGCCCTCCCCAACGCCCACGCCCTCGCAAACACCCTCACCCGCGCCCTCGACACCGCCCACGCCCTCGCTCCTCCCCTCCCAAAAGTCAACGTTCTCGCCGTCGCCATCGCCACCGCCTTAGACCTAGTCCCCGCTATCGCCTTCGCCATCGCCCTCACCATCACCCTTTTCCTCGCTCCTGCTCTCGCCAACGCCATCGCTATCCCCATCGCTCTCGCCATCGTTCTCGCCATCGCTCTCATCATCGCTATCCCCATCGCTCTCGCCATCGCTCTGCCATCGCTCTGCCATAGCTTTCGCCATCGCTCTCGCCATCGCTATTCCTATCGCTCTCGCCATCGCTTTCGCCATCGCTTTCGCCATCGCTCTCGCCATCGCTCTCGCCATCGCTTTCGCCATCGCTATTCCTATCGCTCTCGCCATCGCTTTCGCCATCGCTCTCGCCATCGCTTTCGCCAGCGCTTTCGCCATCGCTTTCGCCATCGCTATCCCCATCGCTCTCGCCATCGCTCTTGCCATCGCTCTTGCCATCGCTCTGCCATAGCTTTCGCCATCGCTCTCGCCATCGCTCTCGCCATCGCTCTCGCCATCGCTTTCGCCATCGCTTTCGCCATCGCACTCACCGACGCGCTCGCCGTCTCTCTCGCCTTTGCCCTGGCCATCGTCAACGCCCTTCGCCCTCGCCTATATGTCCTCGCTTTCGCCTTCACTATCGCCATCGCTATCTCCTCTAAAACGGAATGTAGCCCGTGGGCAAGTATATTTACGCGCACATATGTTTGATCCCCAGAATACCGGCCTGCACTCCTTTATTAACATTTGTTAAATTATAAATGTTAGCAAGGTGCATTGTTTACAAAATCTGATAACCGGAAATATTCACACCCGAATAATAGAAACATTATTATGTATCGAAAAACGAGCGACCCATTTGATATAGTAGTTCCGTCCTCTCGCATCTAGAAGCATGAACAGGTGCGCGGATTATGCCCCCCCCCTCGTGGCAAGCTGCACGCGCCTCAGAGAGGTCTTGCGGATTCGGTAACTGTGCGGGACCACCGCGAGGAAAAAAAATCAGCACGCGTGTGTCGAGGAGATCAAGTCAATTTAGAATGTTAGTTTAAGATGCAATATAAATGGATCCAGTGCTACATGTTCTTTGATACTTCAACTTATTTTGCATCTTTACTTCATTAATGCGCTCTGAAGTTGCTTTGCAAAGTCGTGAATGAGAACTGGTAATTTGCGAGCATGACTGGAGGAAGGCTACGTCGGAGGATAATGTCCTCCTGAGTGAAGATATATTCGCAAGTTATTCGTACTACTGTCAGTAAGTTAAGTCTTGACCACATATTCTCCAACGACCTTCTTCCCAGAAGGCAGCTTCAAAAGGGTGGAAGGTCTTGCCATTTCCTGGATAAGAATTGTAGAGGCCGTCTGCTGTGAACAGTTGCTAAGGTTTTCTCCGATCAGTTATTTTTTGTTAGGGCTATTTCCGACAAGACAGCCAGTTACCCGTTACGTCTCCATGGGAAAAATATTCTACCATGCACTGGACACAAACACTCTTGCGGACTCCTCTAATCTGGGGCCAGCAGAACGCGTGGCCCTCCGCGACAACACTTAAGAGAGACAAGGGAAAAACAACCATGCCCAAAGCGGGACTCGAACCCGCGACCCTTCGGACCGAAGCGTTGAGTCGATACACGCTCTTAGCCACCTCGATCATCCAGTTCGGGTTCAAGCTGTTGCCGGAGCTACACCTCATGCCATGGACCTTTGTAGTACTACCAATAAGCATAATTTTAGAACTGCTCAAAAAAGGCTTTTCATCGTAAGTGGTGAATATGTGCCGAATGGTTAATGTGCACGAATGTTGAGTAATGAGATCTAATTGTTGAAAATTTCGATAACGCTTGTCATTTTTTTACTTGAAGTGTTTGAATATTCACTTTCAAGAACAAATATTTTGCAGCAAGCGCATTCAAAATTTTTAACCTGTGTGTGTGTGTTTTTTATCTCGTGCATTTGTCTGATTCGATGATATGTTATTTGCCTTTTGATCACTGGAGAAAAGTTTACTAAGTCAGAAGTTGACCATTTCATGAGAACCAAACTATCTGTAGTTAATGTAACTGTAAATGGACATGTGCCTTTTATCTTTTCACAATAAACTTGAATTCTCTACATTCTTTTAATTGTCCATAAGACGTTCTGTTTCAAATTTACTTTTCAATTTATTTGTGATCAAGTCTTTCCAGCTGTGACAATTACTTTATATTTATATTGACTAGTATACTCGTGCAACGTTTCTTTGAAGAAGATGGATTGAAGAAAGCGGGTAGAGTGGAGGTTAGTTACGCAAAATAGGCCCACTAAATTTTATGAAACAATGTTCAATCTCTGGAGAATGAGTTATGTCTTCGAAACTTTCTCAATAATTTGCAGTTCTAACTTTCTCAGAGTTCGAGGTATCTCCTGTGTGGATTCTTTCACCTGCATTCGGTCAATTTCTTTCGATTTTTTGGGAGACAATCAGCGGAACAGAATTCTCGTCCTTCAACAAAAAATAGCTTCTTTTCCCCCCATGAGGAGTATTGACTTCAGTGCTCGCTTTTGGGCCTTCAAACTGTGTATTATGTCAGAAAGGGCGGAAGCAAGGTCATACGTTCACGAAAAAGTTGCGCAAGTAATATCTCAAAGATCAATGGTTCATCAGAAATGACAATTTTATACTTTTTAAGTTAATCAGATTGCACTTTATCTATCATCAACAAATTTGCATGGCATATTACCTGGTGAATCTGATAAGTTTTGTCAACAAGTAGTGGAAGCTGTCCTTTTGATTTGGCAAATAATTTCAGATCATTGATGTATAACGACAGTTAATATTATTATTTGGATCAATATTGTAACGTATAGCCAACGTGCCTCCGTGGCATCAATTTGGGGACGCTTGTAAGGGATTAGTAAGAGGAAACTCCCCCCCCCCTCGCCACAGGAAAGGAGAGGAAGGGTTTTTCCGTAAAGCCAAGAACGTTGAAACGGGAGACACACAAAGCTTTGGGGTCTTCCGTTCTTTAGAAACCCTAAAATTTTAGAAAGCGGTGGGGGTGGCGTGGACGTAGTAGTCACGTGAGCCTCGTCTATATAACGGAGTGTACCAGAGCCGTGGGTGGTTCTGGAGACCAGTGAATGAACACCTCGTGCATGTGCACAAAACTTGGCGCCACGACGTGCATACGCGAACGGCTCGCGGAGGCAAGTCACAGTGTCGACGAGCCTGTGGAGGACTTAGTGTCCTTGGTGACTGCGGTCGCTGTGGGAGCATGCTGTTGTGCGTGCTCCGAGGTGAGGAGTGGTTGAGTGGCCACGATTCACGTTCGATCTCCAATACGGGTAAGAACGCCCCTGCGATCGAGGGCAAACCATCAGTGGTACACCAGTAGGACTTTGTGTCCCCGTGTGACATCCGGTCACGGAAGCTAGGCTTTGTCGCGCTTTCAGAAGTAGGAGTGGCGAATGCCAAAATCGAAAACAGAATATTAATCGGGGGTTTGGATCGCTCCGCAAATCAGGGGATAGTAAGGTCTATCAGAGCTCGGGTGTAAGAAGGAATTAATTGTAGCATATTTGTTGTGTTTTTTTGCTACATATAATATATTTGTTATATGAAAGCTCTGTGTCTGTGTTCGCTGAAAGTATCCATGAACGTCACAAAATGGTTCGTGGTA